GAAGATGCAGAGTGGGTTCGGGTCGAAGGTCCCATCGTGATCGGAGCGGGTCCTTCCGGGCTCGCCGTCGCCGCCTGCCTGAAACAGAACGGCGTCCCCTGCCTCCTCCTCGAGCGGAGCGACTGCATTGCTTCGCTGTGGCAGCAGCGGACCTACCACCGCCTCAAGCTCCACCTCCCCAAGCAGTTCTGCCAGCTTCCCCTCTTCGACTTCCCCGGAAACTTCCCAAAGTACCCTTCCAAGCGCCAGTTCATCTCCTACATGGAGTCCTACGCCGCCCACTTCTCAATCCGGCCCGTGTTCGACCAGGAGGTGAGGACGGCGGAGTTCCACCCCGCCCGCGGCGTCTGGGTCGTGGTCACCGGAGACCGCACGTACTGCTCGCCGTGGTTGGTCGTCGCCACCGGCGAGAATGCCGAGCCGCTGGTCCCCGATATCCCGGGGCTCGACCGGTTCGCCGGCCCCGTCGTGCACACGAGCATGTACCGGTCCGGTTCGGAATTCAAGAACCACCGAGTACTGGTGGTGGGCTGCGGGAACTCCGGCATGGAGGTCAGCATGGACCTGTGCAGCCATAACGCCAGCCCTCACATGGTGGTCCGAAACTCAGTAAATACTTACTTCTCCACTCTTTTTTTTTACTTCATTTATTTTAAAAAAGAGTAAATAAGTTTTCACCCTTGGTTAGTTTTTTTTTTAACCGATGGGGTCTGTTTTTGGAATGAAGCAGGTCCACGTTTTACCCAGGGAGATGTTTGGGATATCGACGTTTGCAATAGCCATGGGGCTGTTGAGATGGCTGCCGTTAAAAGCCGTCGACAAGCTTCTTCTGCTGGCGGCGAACTTGACGTTCGGAAAGACGGAGAGTTTGGGGCTCCGGCGGCCGAAGACCGGTCCGATCGAGCTTAAGAACGCCACCGGGAAGACGCCGGTTCTTGACGTGGGAGCATTGTCCTTAATTAAGTCCGGCAAAATAAAGGTACCCCTCCTAATTTGTTAGATTCATTTAAATTGATTAGCGGCGGCACCATTCAACGTTTAACTTTAATATTTTAAAAAATTATTTCAAAAGAGTAAAATTCATACATGGGTAGTAGAATTTTGCATTTAAATTTGCCAACTTGGATTTTTAAACTTGAAAAGAGTAAGAAATAAATTTAGTCGTGCTTTTCGAGGGTGTACTAAAACAGCTTCAAAACATACATCAGCATAAATACTTACTCCGTCCTAAAATATTTGCCACATTTGCTTTTTCAGCAGTTGCGGGAACTTTTATTTATTTCTACGTTTTCATTGGTTATTTGATAAAATAAAATATTCTTGATTGCTTTTATTTCGAAGAACTTTTCATGTAGTTTTTTGATATGTAAATTTTATTTTTTATTTTTATACCAATATGTAAATAAAATGAATTGAAAAAACTTGACATTTTACCTCGGGAATACAAGTATGACAAATATTTAGAGACGGATGGAGTATTAAAAACTCATTTTAATCATGTTATAATTATGCACGGAGTACTATTCTTTTTTGGAATTTTTCATAAATATTAGTGTATACTAAAATACAGTGACTCTCTCAAAATAGCACCGTTTATTTTTATTTTTCAATGTAGTATCTATGGTCATTCCTCACTGGTCATTGTTCAAGTAAATATCTGCTGTCACTGGACATAGTTCAAACTAAATGTCAAACATAACTGGACATTGTTCTCGTAGCTAGACATTATTCAAGTACCCTAGAGTGCTAATTATAGAATGAAAAAGTTTAAGTACTAAATTGAGAAAGGATATATATTTTAATGTTATTTAATACTCCGTACAAATTTCACATTTTTCTTTTCCAGAAATAACTCCGGTTTTTTTTCTGTGTAAGAAAAGTCTTTTTTAAAGAAAGAAATGAGTAGTACCGAATTATTTTAATTTATTGTATAAAAAATCTAACAATGTAGTTTTAATTTTTTAAAAAAGTGGATAAAAAAAGTACTCATCATGATTAAAATTTGCGGCACAGAAGAATGGTGAAATATTTGGAACAGAGTATTTGAACGGCTTTGGAATTATTACTCCAAATATCCAAAATGTCCTTCCAAAATGAACGGTAAAAATTTTTTAATTCCTATATTTAAAAAAAGTATTTTCCCTCTTGCCCTTGAGTTTTAGTACACATTACGAAAGGGTCCTGGGAATTGAACCATCATTAGGGGTGATTTCAGCATTATTTAGGATAGCATTATTATTATTATTATTATTATTATTATTATTATTGTTATCGTTATTATTAGTATTATGGTTTTAATTTATTTTTTGATAAGTATTATTTTTAGTTTTATAAGTATTATTATTGTTATTATTATTTATTGCAGGTGATGAAGGGGGTAAAGGAGATAAGCAGAAATGGGGCAAAATTTGTGGACGGACAAGAAAAAGAATTTAATTCTATAATTCTAGCAACGGGCTATAAGAGCAATGTCCCCACCTGGCTTAAGGTAAAATATTTAAACAGTTTTACTTTTCTACTCTTTTACACGCAAATTTTTTGTGTATTAATTTTGACCTCTCATTATTTAACATGATGGAAATTTCTGTCAAAATGAATTTAACAAATTAAGTGTCATTTCATATTATAGAGTTTTATATTGTGGGAGTAATAATAATTACTCCCCCTGTCCCACTCTTTTTGTCCACTTTCATTTTTGCACACCATCCAATGCACTTCTTTAATCCATTTTATCTTGTAATTTGTGTATTAAAAAATTATAAAAATTATATATTAATAATCTACATGTTAAGACAAATCAAACAAGATCACACATGACTATTTTTAGACTTACACTGAGAGAATTTGATGAGTCAAAGTGTTTAGATGAACAGTTCCAAAAGTCAAAACTGGACAAAAAGAGTGGGACGGAGGTAGTAGCTGTCAAATTTATTGAGTATGACCCTATTTGTCATCAGCGTTAGCATTAAAGATTAGTGTTAGCGTTTATCAAATTTATTGATTCTAATTTCGTTAATATTTTCAGAATTAATCCTCATCATTTTCAGAATTAATCCTCATCATTAAAAACGTTATCAAATTTATTCAAAATGCTAACGTTAATAAAAAATGTTATTCCCAAACAAGGTCTGTGATTTTATGACCAGATTAATTGTATCGATTCACTTGTCTTATTCTCTTTGTTCCAAAATGAATCAAAGTTTTTACTTATGAGCTACTCCCTCCGTCCCAAATTATAATGCTTGTTTACTATTCACAGGGTTAAACTTCATTCACTTTCTTTCTCTATTTTCGTTAGCAATTTGATAAAATAAAATATTATTATCACTATTAGTTTTGTAGATCTTTTGATGTAGTTTTTGAATATATAATTTTTATTTTTTAATTCTATACCATTTGTCATATAAAATGGTTTGAAAATAATTTTAGTTAAACATCGTAAAACGAAACAGGTGTTATAAAATGGGACGGAAGTAGTATCATTTATCAATAAAAATATTATGAAAAAAATGTGATTTTTTTGCAGTACAATACTCTGTATTGAGTACTTTACAGTAAATAAAAAACAGAATGTATATGACAAAGTATGAGAGGTTCTTTTTGTTTTGTTTTTTTCGTTTTGTCTATTTATAATAGGGAGTATTAATTTGTAGTTGATGCTCACGTCACTTTCGTCTTACACATGCTATATATATATATATATATGTATATGTATGTATAGGCTACAAAACTTTCATTTGCATTTATTGAAGTAAAAGAGAAAATCTGGTCTCATTTCTTTGGACTTTTCCCTTCCCAAATTCATTTCCCCTGTGGCTTCTCCCCATTTTTCCCTGTTATATTTTTTTTAATCAAATAACTAATGAAAACGTAGAAATAAATAAAAATTCCTGCGACTGCTAAAAAAATAAACATTGCAAATAATTTGGGAGGGAAAGAGTATTTTTTTTAAAAAAAAAAGAAGATAAAATTGACATTCAAAATGAATTATACACCCCTTGAAGTATACTTGAAGATTTTGGAGTTTTTTTCTAACCCAAAATAAGTCTTTCTACTTTCTTGATTTCATAATTATTTTTTGAGGCCCGTTGCTGTTCCAGTGTCCTGTTCATAAAATTGACGATTCCTATCCCCTAACCCTCTCGGTAAACCCCCTTTCCTGTCCCGACCCGAACACACTCTCCCACCTCCTGCATTTTGTCTTCTCCAATCTTCTTTTTCTCCAATTTCTCTTCAACCGGAAACGCTCATTGAAAAAAATACTTACTGCATCCTTCCCTATTGAATTCTGTTGAAACAATAGATTTGGGCCCAATTCAACCCCAAAAGTTAACTCAAGAAATTAAGGTACCCAAGCTATTAAATAGCAGCACAATATAAGGCTGCATAGCCGATGTGGGATGAACAAGTCAACACGCCCCCCTCACACGAGGCGCAGATTACTGCGGGCGTGGTCCCAACATCAATGACTTAGCTCTGATACCATGTTGAAACAATAGACTTAGGCCCAATTCAACCCCAAAAGTTAACTCAATAGGTTGATGTACCCAAGCTATTAAATGACAGCACAATATAAGGCTGCATAGCCGATGTGGGATGAACAAGTCAACAAATTCACCCTAATGTGACACCCAATTGGTTGAAACATTAATTACTAGCTCTATGTTTGGGAGTTAACATTTGTTGTCCATATTTATTGAATAAATATGGACAACAAACATTTGTTGAATAAACCTTTGTGCCTATATTTATTCTATTTTTGAAATGTCACAAAGGTTACAAACTCAGTTAATTATGGGCCATCAAATCTCACTTCCAAAAAAGTGGTTGTGATTTTTTTTGTTGTGTTTTCCACATGGAAATTTCTATTTGTACCTCACATTTATACCATATCTTATACTTCAAATATTTACCCTGACACGAAATATAAGTGTAAAACTAGTATTGTGTCAGTATTGTACTTACATTTATTTTATGTCAGAATAAATCTTTGTATCTTATAAAATAGGGTACAAAGTAAGGTTAGAATACTAGTAAGCCTTTCCACATATGTAACTCGTTGTGACACGGGTTTTGAGGGCTAAAAATAGGGCTACTAAGGTTGTGGAGCTTCAAAAAATACAGTACAAAATTAATAAATAAATGAACCCCCAAAAGTCACAGTGTAGTTAATACTCACTAAGTTCTTATTATAGCCATAGGTCAAACAATTCCTTCCATCTTCCCTATAACCCACTTGCCCCTTTTCACTCAAAAACCCCAAAAGCCAGCAGCCACTTCCCTGCCCTGCCCTGCGGACTTTCGCATTAATTACCTGCCCTAATTTTCCTGACATTTTTAGTTGACCCTCTTTACCCCCCCTCTTGGCATTTCCCCCCTCCTTTCCAACTTCAAATCACTCCTTTCTTATGTTTTTTTCCCTCCTCTTGGATTTTATTTCACTACTTTTTACCTTTTTCAATGTTCAGATATGTTATGTCAAAATATCATGTGTCAATCATCTGTATAATACGGAGTGGAACGAACATTTTTCAGACACGGTTAAAACATAGTGTGACACATATTGTGGGATATATATCGTTTCACTGTATGTTGTCTATGTTCGGTTTCACATAGTGAAATGAATCTCTAGCAACTAAAGTGCTACGAAGTGGTCCTTTGGGGTCTGGGAATGCACTTTGAATAACTTATAATGTGATAAAAAATGGACCTTAGTACTACATGAGAGGAGCAAAGACTTGGGAAAAAAATTTGGACCACCACATGCAAAATTCTGCAAAGTTAAACTTTTTTTTTTCACCATAATGAACTCTTCTATGGCTCTAGAGCTTGGTGTCGGTTTGTTGGATCCATGAAAGAACCTGAATTGTGATTTGTGAAACTGTTGTAGGGTTGTGATTTCTTCACGGACGAAGGGATGCCGAGCACGCCCTTTCCGAACGGGTGGAAAGGGGAGAACGGGCTGTACACCGTTGGGTTTACAAGACGAGGGCTTCTAGGGACCTCATCTGATGCCATGAACATTGCTAAAGATCTTGCTCAACAATGGAGGAAACCTTGTTCCAGTTCTACCCCTACTTCCCTAGCATCATAGCCCATGGATGCCATTGTTTGAGGATGGTTTTGGGACAATGGAGGGGTAGATTGGTAAAAGCAACGGGAATTTTTTTTTAAAAAAAATTTCAATGTTCCCAAAAGTAGTGGAAGTTGTATGCCATTTTTTTTCAATCATCTCTTTCTTGGAAACAAATCATTTGTAAATATCCAATTTTGCTTAGGGATCTGTTTTCTGTTCTCCTAAAATTAACTTGTGTAACACCAATTGTGGGTATGTAATGTTAGAATAAAAGTTGTGGAAATAGAATTCTCCTCTTCCAAATCAATATATATACTTGCATTGGATTCTCATTACATGTGTGTGTGTGTGAGCTCAAAAATAATATGTGACTTCACCTCTAATAAGGTGAAAATGATTATAATTATGGATCCAAAAAGTTTTTTTTGTGTTATTTATTCCCTGACTCTATAAAAATTACATCAATAGTCCCTATATATTTAGAAATGACATATCAATAATCTCCTCGCACTAGATTTGGAATTCCGTTAATAATACACTCATATGATGATTGATTCATTGAAATTCATATATCACACGAGAGTTCAACAATTTTCACTTGTTCAAACTTATTTTTCCTATATTTTTAACCTTTTAAAAACATAGATGCTTATTTTGACTTTAGTCGCCTACAACCGAACTCAAAGTTCGGGCATTAGCCGATCAAGCTTTTACCTAGAGCTGTATAGGTAGGGTAATGGTAGTTTGTGAGAGAGGAGGATATGAGTAGGCCGGTGAAAAGCAGGGGTGAATATGTATCTATCTATCTATCTATCAGGTTTATTAATCAGAGCACGTAAGTGAAGTGAAGTAGTTGAATTGGGTGATGATGATGATGATGAAGAGAAGATTGGAGAAAGAAGAAGAAATGTGAGATCAGAGCAGTGATGGGGCTGGGAAGAAGCTAGCTACTATACGTACAGAGAGAGAGGTAAGAAGAAGAAGAAGAAGAAGGAGAAGTGGTGACTGATGAGCAGTTAGTTGTCCATATGCACTGGTACATTTGGAGTACTGTCAGACCTCCATCATTGTTTTCACTTACTCTTTCCCACCCAAAATAGATTTTACAATTACTCCTTCCCGCCGGTGGACGTTGCGCATTTTGTAAAGCAATGAGTGTCATCGGGTAAGATCCAAGTTCGTATCCCAGTAACTGCGCGGGAAGATAACTATGCTTAGTAAAATTTACCTCTTCTCAAATATATACCGTCCGGCCGAGTCTTAGAGGGTCCTCAAGGATGAGGCTCATCCCTTTACAATTATTCCCTCCGTTTTATCTTTTGAGTCACTATTTGCATATTAAAATTTTGATAACTCTGTTTATCAATTTTTTTTAGTTATTAGATAAAATAATTTAGAATTCCTATTTCTCAAGATAAATTCAATCTTTGACTCCTATTTGAATGATTTCTTTAAATAAAATTATAAACTCTATTAGTCCAAAAATAATAATTGCACTCTTCAGTATTCAAAAGTCACGAAAATTGTCACGAAAATAATTTAATAAAATAAATTATTTTTGTCACCTGGTATTTTTTAGAATTTCTGACGTAGTTTTTAATACATAAGTTTTCTTTTTAATTGTTGGAGTGAAGGGTAAGACACTCTTCAGATCTATCCTGACTCAGCTTTCAGCTGTACGTGTAGTCTCTGTTGACTTTGGCTACACGCTGGTAAGAACAACCATGGATTGGATGAGAGGTCCAGGGGTCAGTGATCGGCGCAGAGTGGATTGCCAGGATTGATTTTACTAACAAATTTATTTTCTAAATTTAATCACTTAAATTTTCAAGGATGTGTTGTTAAGGACTTCCGTAGTGTTTTGACTTATGTTTTGTATTGATAATGATGGTGTAAATTAACCACTCGGCAGGCTGCATTAGACCGGGGTCTAGGATAGTCTTTTAAGCTTAGAGAATGAAAGGGCGAGAAAATAATGAGTGATCAATAAGACTCTAGGTGCAAATACCTGTATCCCAATTGTTATTAAGTACTATTGAAGTTATACATGCTAGTATTACAATATGAACTTTAGAAAAAAAGTTTAAGTGCCTTCATTTGAGGGTTCCAAAGTTATTTATAAGAAGATGATGGGATAGAGCATTGCGCGTCCATATTAGCCCAGGTCTCATATGATGCGAGGTGACTTCCTTTTGTCCCGTAGTATTTTGTCCTATTCCCTTGTCATCTTGTGCTGATAACACTTCTTTGGCGCGTAGTGCCCAGATGAGAATGTTGGATTATTTCCGCAATCTTTCGTTGAAATTGTTCGCTACCGTCCAATCATCTTTGGAGTTATTCATGCCGACATTTTCACATCATAGCAATCTTTTCGGTAGGTTCACCGGTCATGCGTTTTGAAGAGACAGAAAACTACCGGCATGAAGTCATGTATTTTGACTGGTGATCCTACATTTTGTACCGATCAGTTTCTTGAATCTTATTGGTGGGCCATATTTTCGTATAAATCTTCCATTTTGATACACTTGCGTTTGACCAGTCAACTGCCATGGATCCAGATTCGGACTAGGTCCGGAGTGCAATACACTTATAAGATAAATTTGATTATTTGGGTGCATCCCTATCAAATGTTTTAAATATATGACCATGTGGATATCAATGAGTAGCAACACGGTTTGTTAACCAATTTACTCGAGATACGTAAGTTGGTGTGTTACAATAAAAGAATGAGTACTAGTACACAAAAGAATGAACATATTTAATTCCCTAATAAACGTGTTACTACTCATAATACAAATGGGTACCAACACATAACAAATGTGTACAAGTTAAGCACATAAAGAAGAATGAGCATAAATGAATTTGTCTTAAACCCACCAACAACATATGCTTGTGCCGGAGTAGATCAACTAGGATTTCAAAGAGGCCAGGCGACCAACCGTGGAGCACCTCCATCTCTTTTTTCATCGCAATTTTGCAGTTTTGTATCCATCTTCAATGCATTGAGCATCGCCACTATTATCGGTGGTTTGATTGTCATCGTTTTTGTCCCAACAATCCATCACCTTCCTCCAAAACTGACTCCAGCTATAACAGAGAATCAAATAACCAGACATGACTAATATTTTACGTGGTGGTACTATGGCGAGAGTGCTGGTGGAAATGTGGTAGTGACAACGAGAACGTGTAAGCGAATGTATTAGTGTGGCTGTGGAGGTGATAGTGTGGCTCAGTGGTGGTACGTTGTCGGTAATAATGGTACTGTTACGGGGATGGAGGTGACAATGTGGTACCCTGACATACATTGGCTGGCACATGTTGACTAGTTGTAGTGGGGCAGCGATTGCCAGTGGGGTGGCGGTGATTATGGTAGTGTGACGATGTTGTGGTCGTGTAGAAGTAATAATGGGGAAGTGGCATTGTGGCCGCTCACAGTTGTATCAAGCAAAAAAATCACTTTATTGAAAAAATAGGGAGTGATTCTTACTTATGTCTAAAAATATCATGATTTCATTTTAGAGATGTGGATTTCATTTTACTTTTATTCTTGTAGTTCTCCCAAAAATTTTATCATTGTAATATGTTGTGTGTCCGAGATTAATCTTCCAAATTTCTATTTCGACATCTAAATTATTTATATTTGTATGCATATTTTCTAATACTCCTTAATTTTATAAAGACAAACTATTTTTGTCACCAATTGTATAATAAATTTTTTTATTTAGTTTTAAGCGATGTAATTTGAATTTTTTAGAAATCATTTAAAAAAAGATGTTACTTGTTCTTCCAAATGAAAATGAATAAATTGAGATTTAGGGATTACGAAGGCAGGTACAGATTCCGTCCCTAAAATAATTTATCTTTCTTTTTTTTCATTTAAGATAATTTAAGAAAATCAACGCAAATACTCCATCTGTTCCTAAAAGATTATCACAATTTAACTTTTTTTGTCAAATTGTAGCATCATTTGATCGCAAATTAAAAAAAAAAATTAGTTGTAATGTGAGTTTAGTAAAAGTTTGGGTTTATTTTAAAATATAATTTTGAAATATCAAATTTTAAGAATATATCATTTCATTTAATAAAATATCATAAAAATGGAAATGAGAAAGAATAGAGTAATTTAATGTCCTCCGAATCACACGCCTCCCTTCCCTTTGATCGAAATCCTTGAGCGCACGCATAACTATATGCAGACTCACTCCACTGACGTCACTCATTCCTCCGTCACATCGCCGGAGTGCAGCACTCCACTATTTCTCCATTTTCACCTGTCCTAAGTAGTAATTAAGCTTCTTTCTTTTCTTCTTCTTTTTTTTTTAAAAAAAAAGATTCGTAATTAAAATTTTCATTTTTTAATGAAATGATTTGATGGGTTTTCATTTATCTTTTTTTCCACCTTAAATCTCTATCAAATACTCCTAATAAGTATTTTTATTTTTTAGAATTGTCAGATTTAAATGGGTATTATATCTTATTGTACGGCCGGGATCTCCCCTCATCATCATCATCATCATCAGGTCTGATGAGTCACTACTACTCAGTGATGACCTCATTTCTTTTTAAAACTTCTCTTTCTTCTTCTTCCTCTTCTTCGTCTCACGAAGATCGACTTTACCAGCTAGCTGCCAACCAATCTTCTCCAGTACAGAGATATATGACTTGAAGATGTATGCATGCATGGTGAATAATGAATCTATAGCATCAAAGATTTTTACCATACGTACTCCTTTTTAATTTTACCCTACCAGATATACTCCCTCCGTCCTATAATGCTTCCCAGAGCACTATTCCAACTTCACGGGAATTTATATTTATTAGTGTTTTTTCATGGCCTATATGATAAAATAAAATATTCTTGTCACCACTTGTTTTGTTGAACTTTTGATGTAGTTTTTAAATATGTATGTTTTATTTTTTATTTCTATACCAATATTTAAATGAAATAGATTGAAAAAACTTGAGATTTTTCTTCGTTTTGCGAACCGAGAAGATCATTATAAGACGGAGGGAGTATAAGTTAGCTAGCTTGCTTCTAAGGAGGATCAAGGGACTTCTATCTCCCAAAAAAGAAACCCATAATGTATAGGCTACCCTCCATTTTTTATCTTCCAAGTTACCATTCCGTGTCATGAGTACGTGTTGGGATTCCTCCAAGTCTCACCCCAGAAGTTTATGAGTAAATGAACCAAAATATATAGGTTTGTTTAATCTCATTAGTATGAGGCGTTTTGGAAGGTGCTCAAAAACCAATCCGTAAGGGCTTGGCCTAGAAACGACTATATC